TTCTTTTCAGCCCTGGCTTCCCCTTCCTCGTGCCTACTTCTGGTTCGCCCCTCTGCAGGATAGCTTCCTCGTCTCCCTAAACTTTGGGCTTCCTGTGTTTCATTTTTTTGGGTTGGGTTGGGTTGGGTTGAGGCCCAACTTGGACGGCCTTGCTCCGTTTCTTTTCTGTCCGGGTCCCGCAACGGGATCCTGTGTGTGCCAAGTTCCGGTTTCACTCTGGGAGCCAGCAGAACATGCCAACGAAATCACTTACTTGCCATCGGTGACCGCAGCATTCCCGCCCATAAGGCTGTGTGTGCTTCGCTTTGGTGCTTCTCGCTCGGCTGCGCTTGACATAGGCTCTGCATCCCTCCAAGCGATTTGCCCTCACTCGTTCTCGGGTTGCCGTCTCCCTGGGGGGGTGTGCTGTTGAATTGTGCTGTGTTTGTGTGTTGTGTGTTGCGTGTGTGTGTTTGTGTGCGTATGTTCTTTGCGTGTGTGTGTGTGTGCTGTGTATGTGCGCTTGTTGTGTGCAGGGTTGTGGCGTGTGCTGTGTGGTGTGGTGTGGTGTGTGTGCTTTTGTTTATGCCATGTTCTTTGTTGCGTCGCGTGGTATTGCGTTGCACTGTGCCGCGTTGAGTTGCGCTGTGCTGCGATGTGTTGCGTGTCGGTGTTGTGTTTGCCTGGTGTGTGGGTGTGAGCATTGTGCGCGTGTTGTTTTGTTTGTTGTGCGTGTATGTGGGGTGTGTGTGTGTGGGTGTGTGTGTGTGGGTGTGTGTGGGTGTGTGTGTGTGGGTGTGTGTGTGGGTGTGGGTGTGGGTGTGTGTGTGTGTGTGTTTGTGTTTGTGTGTGCGTGCGTAAGTGCGTGCGTAAGTGCGTGCGTGCGTGCGTGCGTGCGTGCGTGGGTGTGTGTGTGTGTGTGTTTGTTTGTGTGTCTGTGTTTGTGTTTGTGTTTGTGTTTGTGTGTGTGTGTGTTTGTGTTTGTGTGTGTGTGTGCATGTGTGCGTGCATTTGTGTGTGTGCACATAAGCTTGTCCGTCATATTGTGTGTGTGTGTTTGGTGTGTGGTGTCCGTGTCTTGCCCCAGTTTGCTCGATGAGTGGACCTTCAGTGAGTGGCGGTTTTTATTTCCGATCGACAAGAAAGGTAGCGCCGCACTGCAGCCGCGGAAGGTTTGCGGAAGGTTTGCGGAAGGTGTTTTTCCCGCGGAAGCTCGCGGAAGGGACCTTGTCGATTTGCACGTAGTAGATTGATGTCGGTTGGGTGGTTGTTGCCAAGCACGTTTACTAGCAAACCGCGCGCACGAATTCCCTCGCGGCTAAGTTTCCAGAAGTAACTTGCCTGCGGAAGGCCCGCAGAAGCACTTATACAAACTTATGTACAAACATGCTCGCGGAAGGTGTCCTTCACACCGCGGAAGCTTCGCGGAAGGTTTCGCGGAAGGGTCTGATACGTCAATGCAAATTTAAAGGGAATAAAAACCACCTGGTGTGTGGTGTCCGTGTTATGCCCCAGTTTGCTCGATGAGTGGACCTTTAGTGAATTTTCAGTGGTTATTGCAGCTCCCACAATGCAGTGAAAGTAGGTGGCACGACCTCTTGCTACAGCAAAAAGGGAATAGTGCCATCTACATTCACCCTGCTGTGATGGAGTGGAGCTGGCGTTGGGGCCTTTGAACGCATGCCAGTAGCAACAAAGGAGGAAGTCTGCCTGGTCAACCTCATCTTCTCGAGTATCCTGCGGTCGTTCCACAGAGATGTTCCTCTTAAAATGGAGGTGCTGGCATGCATGGTCACCATGGGCTGGTTGGATTGTCTTGGGCTGGTTGGATTGTCATGGGCCCACCTTGGTTGTTTGGACTTTATGGCGGCGAAAAAGGCACTATTTGCAGTCAAGCGGAGGATGGGGTTGCCGCACGCTAGGACACGGTGGACCAAATCTGTCGCCTCTACTTGGTGGAGGCGAGGGCGCTTTCATGGGCCGCCGAAGGGTCGGACAATGGGTGTGTGTGTGTGTGTTAAGAGACTGCAACATTGTGGTTTCTTGTTGTTCCCCTTTAAACAACAACCCCAAAAAGGGACACCTCAAAAAGACAGACCTTTGTGAAGCACTCGGGTCGCCTCCTTCTTCTGCATACCTCCTCATTGAAGGAGGCATGGTCACTGGACAACCGCAAGCCCTAGGGGCTTTGCGTTGGGATACCCTTGCTTCGTGCTAGTTGGAAGCGTGTGGCACGACCTAGTCAGTCAGGCAGGCCCGGCAGGTTTCACAGGGTTACACGGCAACCTGGGTTTTCCTTGCAAGAGAAAGGGCGATGTTCCATTCTGCTGGTTTCTACTCTTGTTCTTTCTTGATATACTTGTTTTTTCTTTTCTAGTCCATTGCTACATTGGCTCTTGCATTGGCTGCTTTTTCTTAACTGTTGTTGTCTAGCGGTGCTGTTCGAGGATGGCGGCCAGCGCCGCCTTGACCCCCTCTTCTTTGAGGACAACCAGGTGACGGATGCTGAGCATCAGCGCCTGCAGGGGGCTTCAGATTGGGGCTCAGGGACGGCTGCAAAGGCGCCCTTGCTACAAAAGTAGCTGGTGTTTGGAAGGGAGCTGAGGAGCTACGGCCCTCCAAATTTGCACTTGAAGAGGGGCTACCAAATGACAAATACAAATTAGCAAGTAGCGGACTCCTGGGTTGTGCGCTACACAAGAAGTGACCACAACGGCTCCATTGATTTCCTGACCGGCGTTGGAGAACCAGCAGCCCACCTTCACTAAGGGGGGAGTAAACACCACGGCTCGGGCTCACACTTCCTGAGTCCTAAATATCTTCTGCGAAAGGAAACTCTGCATGGCGAAAGCCCGCAAAAGCGTTTTCCGAAAACTCGGTCCGCAAAAGCTCCGCGAAAGGGCTACTTTTTCAGCCAGCGCGCGAAAGGAGCAAGCGTTGACTGTGCGAGAGTGTACATTTGCTCATCAGTGTGGACAGGCTGTTTGAGAGTTTCGGATCTGCGCGAAAGCTCCGCGAAAGCTCCGCGGAGAGCGTGGGTCCTGGATCCACGGGCGGGCTCTTGGTGTGTTGTTCTACTGAAAGGCTGCCCTGCTCAATCTCGATCGGTTTTGAGCACTGCTCATATGAAAGATCCCGATTTTGGAGCGTCACTTGATACACAGGAAGGTGGTTTGGAAGCAGAGGCTCAGACCTCCGCACATTTCACAGATGCCCTCGGAAAAGGCGTCCATTCCGACTGGACCGTGTCACCACTTTTTCGACCAAATGAACTTTCAGGTGTTTGCTAGGATGCCCTGGCGTAGAAGGTCATACAATGGCAATTCGCCAGTCATCACCAGTCACAACGCAGCTGCGAAGACGAACCTTAGGGCTCCCATATCCCCAACCTTTCTCTTCTAAGAGCCTCACTTAGGAAGCGTCTATGAGCCTTTCCCGGGGGGTTGGGGGGGGCTTTCGGGTTTCCGAGCTTCCTGCACGCCTCACATTCCTTTGCACAGGGGCAGAAGCATTTGGCTTCAGCTGGTTTCAAACAGCCATGGCTCGCGCCATTTTGGCACTGCTACCGCTGGCGCAGCCTTTCGGTTGCACCGAAGTAGACCCAAAGGGACCATTTTCAGAATGAGGTGGTTAGTATTGGGAGTATAGTCAACTATCAGCTATTTCCCTTCACCAGACAGGTTAGGGATTCTTGAATTTGAGTAGCATCTCATCAGGTGCCCTCCCCAACCACGTGGCATCACGCAGCTGAGCTCTTCCCTAGCGATATCAATGCAAAGAGGGCATTTGTTCAGGCGATCGCATGCGGCTCTTTTGGACCTTGTTAAACTCCCAATCCCATTTGGAGCCTCATTCTCAACACGAAATCGGCAAGTGACATTTAGAGCCACCTATGCTTGTACTGGGGATTGCGTTTATTATTTTTCGGAAATCAGTATGGACAGACTCAGAACCAATTCATACACGGGGGTAGGAAGTCAGCAGAATTCAGCCATCAAAAGGTGACTTGGGGTCTGTCTTGTCTCTCAGGGCCTATGCGGAACCGCTCGCCCTGAGCAGCTCAGCAAAAGAAGCCTTGTCAGCTGCAGCGGCAGATGCGCCATTGCCGCAGACGCTGGGCATCAGTTGGGGCAGCTGGGGCAGGGTGGGGAGACGCTGGCATGGAAGCGGCGACGCATGTTGCGAGGTAGCTGAAAGGCAAAATGGGTGGGTGTCCCACAGATTGAGGGCCCCAATCCCAGGATCCAGCGGGCTAGAGCAACCTGTGCTTCTCACAGTACATTGCCTCGGGACAGTGCTGCCAGATTGGGAGGTTAATGGGTCAGGGGTTGGAGCCAGAGTCTGCCGAGAAATTAGTGTTGACTTGGATGGGAGCTGCCAAAAATAAATAAATAAATATATATATATATATATATTCAGATATAGTTCGATTCAAATGGACACCACAAAACAGTCCAACCCAGCACTGCGTGCTTTGCACTGCCTTCGGTTTCACACTTTTAGGAACTGCCCTGGCATGGACGACGAGCTTACGGACAACGAGAAGGACTTTGTGGTGAGCCCGTACTGGAAATACTTCACCTACGACACCTTCGACAAGCGTTCCTGGGTGACCTTGGAAAACCTGGAGGCGTGCATGCGGACGGTGCCAGGACCCGAGTGAAGTGAAATCGTTCATATTTGTTTTCGCGTGGACGGCTTACCGATGCGCAGAGAAAGAAAGAGAGAGAGGGAGAGAGATATGCGTTCGTGTGGAAAAGAAGCCTAAATGGGGAAGTCCTTTTGTGGCTTCCTCTATCTACCCTCCCATTCTTTTCATGAATTTTCACTTGGAACCTGACGTTCGGGACCCGGTCAGATGGTCCAAACCACCCCCGAAACGTCGAACGGTTCCTTGCGACCAGGCGAACAAAAACGGAAAAAAAAACGGGCCGGGTCCTCGGAGGAGGCGACACGAATCCCTGGGTCATGGCCACGGATTTGTGGGAAGCACACGTCGAGATCTACAAGAAGCTCGGGGCATCAACTGCTCCCAGCATGTGGTGGAAGCAAGGCCGCCAAGACGCAAGCAAGAAACGTGCGCGCGACACACCACGAGTTATTGACATAAATACGCCATACTCGATGTGCTTGATTGTTGGCCTTAGTTAAAATCGACACCTCTGGCATCAAGGAGTTTGTCCCAACTTCAGTCGCACAAAACACTTGTTTGTTCCCAACATCATGTACGTGTTTATGCATGGGGTCCAAGATGGAGTTGTTGATTTGCAACAAGTATCGGACGAGTAGTTTGTTTTTGAGCGCTGAAGCTGTGCTCTGTCCTTTTTTTTGTGCATGCTACAAAACCTATAACGCTTCATGTTTCCTTCAAAGGAAACACACAAAGGCATGGGCAAGTGTTGATTTCCGCACACCCAGTTTTAGACATTGTTTCCCCTTTAAACCGGACTAGCGCCTACATTCGCTGGCTCTCTTGAAAATGAGGTTGGATTGAGCGAGAGCCAGTCCAGAACTTTGACTCCGTTTTGGGCACTGCCTTTGCAGCGGCTGCGCCCATGAGTAGTATGGGCACCGCAGCATGGCTCCTTGGGCTGCAGGTGAATCCCCGGAAGCGCTTTGTTGTCTCCTTCAAAGGCCTCGTGTTCAGGCTCCGTGTGAGGTCCTCATTTTGAGGAAAGGGTCTCCGACTTGTTCAAGGTTTCTCCCAGAGATGTGGCGGCGCATAGGCCTTGATCTTTGCCAGCTGTTTTTTTGTTTTGCTGGCCCAGGCTTCAACAGCCCTGCAACGCCTTGTCCAACGCCGCCTTTTTCGAAGTGTCGCTCATGGCATGCAATGCTGCCTCTGTGGACGACTATGGAGGCGCTGGCAAACCTAGGATTTTGTGGTCCCTGTCCCTGTGAATGCACCACGAGTCCCTAGCTTGTGAGACATGACGTCATGACATGTTTGCCAATCGATTCCCGTAATGACACATCACCGTGACTCACAATCCCACAAGACCGCCTGCACAATGCAACACAGCGTGATACCTCCTGAAACCATAGCTCATTTGCCGATTGCCCAGCCCCTGTCACTTAGCGGCATGTGAGACCACAGAAGGATATGTATCTTGATTTCTCTGCAAACACATTCTCCTTTGTCCACCGGGCTTCTTTTTTATAGCATTTTGTGTTTGAGGGTCTTCCACTGGGCTTCTTTTTTCTTGCATTTTGCTTTGAGGGTATGGTTTCAATGGTGAATCACCTATAGCAGCACAGGGGGGCCAAATTCCTTCCCTACAGCTTGGGCAAGAGACTCCTTGATGGCATGGGCCAACCTTTGGAGTCCTTTGATCCGCTTGTTGGGGGATCCCATTTGGTAGGTGAATGCACCACCCATTTTAGTTCTATTTTTAGTGGGGGTTGGGAGGTTCACTGCGGGATAAAAGGGCTTTTGACCCATGGCCATTAACAAAAAAAAGTCTCAGGAAGCGAGGACTTCTGTCCCGTTTTTTCTCAGCTCCTTTCATCCCCCACAACAAAATGGAACTGGGGGAGGGGGGATTTCGAGCCCTGGAGATCTCCGCCCTTGTGTGGTTGGAAGACTGAACAAATAAACAAATACGGATTTTTGGGACCCCCCCCCTGCCCCTTGAGGTAGGGGGGATCTCTTCTGGGGTTGTCGCCCGATGAGACGCTCGAATTCGCCCTCCTTGCGCCAGGGCTCCTTAAAAGATACACCATTTTGCAGCCATTTGAAACATGGCTGGCTTTTTCAACGCCAAAATGAAGTTGGAAACCACCATGCACAAGTTGCTGTAAGGATCCCTGTGAGCGTTGGTCCGGGTGCAGCTTCACCATGCACAAGTTGCAATGTTCACTCAGTTGTTCAGTGGCTCCCTTTTTCCTTTTTTTTTGGTGGCTGCCCCACTAAAATGTTTTTTTTCCAAAAAGGGTTCCCTTTTTTTCCAGGGTCACTGAACAACTGAGTTCAGGTGTATAATGCATCCGGATCCCTGCGCCAGGCTCCTTCCCCTGGCGCTCGGAGATCATCGCGGCGGGGGCGCTGATGGCCTTCGGGTCCTTCGCCATGCACGGGAACCCCTCCGGGGGGGCCTACCACGAGTACCTCGGTTCTTCAAAGCGAATCGAGCTTCTGACCTTTTGGTTTTCACTTTTGGAACCCAAAAATCTAGTCATGGTCCCAAAAGGTGATCACCTTTTGGTTCCAGGTCCTTTGGGCAATTGAGGTACAGCGGCTCCACCGAGGCGATTTCTCGTTTTCGCCGAAATGCGATTTGGGTATGGGTCATATAATTAATCCAGGAATCACACCACAGGTTGAATCGTCCTTGATTCCTTTTATCAGAAGCCATTTCGGGTACCTATTTTTTGACCCACGCCCAAATAGGCCGCATGCGGTTGGCGCGGGGCTCGGGCGCGGAGCTCGGGGCGACGGTTTGGAGGCACGCAACAAGAAAGTTGGAAACGAGATGGTGCGTTGAGAGGTTTGCAGCAATTTGGGAAGTGAGAGGGTAGCTT